ACAGAGCATCTACCACGAAAAAAAAATATATATAACAGATTAATTACACGTCACATTATATAATTACTTGATGATGTGCATCGTACAGTTTTATTTAGTAGAAAACGAGCGGAACCCCCTGAAAGCAAAAGGCATCCAACTCTAAATGCTACACGGAAGAATTTAACTAACGGACAAGATGGACGTTAACTGTGGAAAAGTACAACTAGGCGATAGATCTTTACAACTAAATAGATTGTTAGCGCATCTATCATCAAAATAAGTTATATAACATTTGTTTTACCGATTAATTAATGATAAAATAGTAACGTTACTGACATAAACTGGAGGGAAACAAAGTCTGAGGCTTTCTAAAAGCATCATGGCTCTGTCGAAAAATGAAGGTTTTGCCGGTGATATTAAAACAACACATCCTGAAGAAGAAGTGTCTCCGTGTGTCTCCGGCCAGACCAAAGCCTCCACCGCCAGACTTTTATCCCGGGAGGAGCTGGACAGACTCGGCGGTGAGCGGGCTCTGGTGTCCGACTTCAAACTGATGAAGTTGGAGAAAGAAGCTCAGAAAAACTGGGACTTGTTCTACAAAAGAAACACGACGAATTTCTTCAAGGACCGACACTGGACCACCAGAGAGTTTGAAGAGCTGAAGACATGCAGAGAGGTGAGGGAGAGAACACCGGCTGGTACATTTACACAATATAACAAGAACAACATATATTGAAGTTTGTCCACTTAAACCCCTCTTGTTGATATTTACCAATATAAGTATTTTAGGTAATAAGTTCTATAACAGACATTACCTCTTTGCTTTACTTTACTTTATCTGCTACATTAAAAACGTGATGGAACATAATATGAGACATGTTAAAGTCGTCAGAGGTTCCAGATGATTTCGGCACAATCCATCAGTCAATGCAGTTATTGACATTTATGATACACACATTAGTGGGGGTTTTACTGAAGAAAGGTGTGAAGATGTGTGGGAATGTTGGGCAAACAGTTTCCCATAAGAAGAGAAATACCTGAAGAGTCGGTGTTTACGTCTTCATTGTTAGCTGTGCAGGATTCTAACATGGACAAAGTGCTAAACGGATATTCTTGGCCATCTGTGTCCGGCCTGGTTTGCAGTTTGAGTCCCAGAGGCTGGTGTTGCTGGAGGCCGGCTGCGGTGTGGGAAACTGCCTCTTCCCTCTGCTGGAGGACGACCGCAACATCTTTGTTTACGCCTGTGACTTCTCACCGCGAGCTGTTGAATTTGTGAAAGTAAGATATCCATCCATCAAATCTATATCTGATATCTGCGTGCACCGTACACTCAGAATGACACATTTACACCTGTTCAGCTGACCAGTACAAACTCAGCCTGGCACTGCTGGCTGGTGACCAGTGCTGCCGTACGATTTGATGGCTTAATAATGACACAATACCTCAATAATAACACAAATAAAACCACTTCATCCGCCTTCTGTTGACAGCTAAACCCTCTGTACTGCCCCGAGCGCTGCTGTGCCTTCCAGTGTGACTTAACTAAAGATGATCTGAGGGGAAGTGTGCCGGAGGGCAGCGTGAACATCGTCACTCTGATCTTCGTCCTGTCGGCCGTCCACCCTGACAAGATGAAGCTGGCTTTGCAGAACATCAGCAGGGTGAGAGCAGAGACAGCAGGGGGGGGGGGGACTCTGGGGACTCTTTTCTTACTAACATTGGGAGTTTTCATACACTCACACCTAGTAAACACACAATCTAGTGTGTGTACAAATAAATAGTACAAAGAATAATTGTAATTAGTTCTTTTTGATGTGCTGCATGTGTCTGACGGTGCCTTCACAGCCTGTTTTTGGGAGCTCAAATACAAGCTGGTTCAAACGGTGTAATTTTCGATATATGTGGCTTGAAGGTGCTGAAGCCCGGGGGCGTCGTCCTGTTCAGGGACTACGGCCTGTACGACCACGCCATGCTCCGCTTTAAAGCCGGCAGCAAGCTGGGGGAGAACTTCTACGTGCGCCAAGACGGAACCAGATCCTACTTCTTCTCTAAAGGTCCGGAAGCCACTTCCAGAAAGTCCTGTTTGTTTGTGTCATTGAGACGGTTCTAGATAGATCGATGTTTTAACTCACCTTCCTGTGCCATGGATCCCTTTAATATATTTATTTTGGTCCACAACAAAAGCAGCTAAAACGTCTATGGACTACAGTAACTATTGTACGAGTTCAACACTTGAGATAGGTTTTGTCGGCTGTCCCATCATGGTATAATATAACAATAGTAGAAAGACAGCAAGTTCTTAATTTAACTATTCAACAGTTCAGCCGTTTATTACGTGCATTAAACAGCTGTTTGTACACGGACACAGTCACGTTTCTTGACCTTTCCCGACTCCTTCAGAAAACACTTCAATCTTCCTTTTGTTTCCTCCTCCTGAAGCCTCAGTCCGCTCTGTTCCGTCTGCTTTCAGAGTTCCTGGCTGAGCTGTGTACCGACGCCGGCCTCCAGTCTGTTTCTAACGACTACGTCCTGAGAGAGACGGTCAACAAGAAGGAGGGGCTTTGTGTTCACAGAGTGTTTCTGCAGAGCAAATTCACCAAGCCCGGCCAATCGGAGAGCTCCTGATGCCCCCGGGACTGTGGCTGTCGCCTCAATAAACAAACATCTCCTGGTTGACATTCCTGTGATGACCGACACGCTGCAGTGTGTGAATCCTTCAAACCGCGAGGGAGATGCAGGTTGTTAAGAAAGATTAATAATGACTCATCCCAGCAATGAACTGATGTCTTTTGCTCGTTCGCCAACGGATGAAGACGTTGCCTTCACTGAGACTCTTACAGGTGGAAACACGTGGAACTATGTGAAGGTGAAGCACAAAAATGGCAACAGTAGCATGAACATGATTGTTCAGCAAAGCCCTCAGCCGGATGAAGAGTGAGTCCCAGTGATCGGGATTCAGTGGTTCAGATCAGGTACTCTGAACATCATCTTCTCTGCTCTTTATTCCCCCTCATGTTAAGCTACACGGATCATTTTGGGATGAGGTGAGTTCATTTTGTGTGAATTCATTTGAATGTTTTTCAACATATTCATAAAAAAAGTCTTCAACTCCATTGGGTCATTTCACACTTTGGTCCTATTTTTGCAAACCACAGAGTCAGATAATAATCTCGCGCGCGCGCGCACACACACACACACACACACACACACACACACACACACACACACACCGTGACCTTTTCAGAATGTTCTTCTTAGAAGTTTAGGTGGTTTCCAAGAGTGTGAAAACCATCAGACGGTTGTCAGATCGAATCTCCAGCTCATCCTCTTCCTTGACAAACCTTCAAATAAATTTTTATAGGTTGTTGTTTAAAAGCAGAAAGAAAACATTTTCCAGAATCAATGTGCCGCCTGGTGACGGTGTGTCATGTGGTCCGCAACATTAACGTCACATTTTCTACAGGTAGTTAAAGGTAGAGCCGACGGTTTGTAGCTAGGTATCAGCTGATGCTGTTACACTTGTGTTTGAGCAAAATCTTAGTTCATAAGAGAGCAACATATTCAGTATACAATGAAACAATCCTGAAGTGTCTCTTCTTCTCTGGTTTGACGTTCCATGAGTCGTTTAGAGGAGTGCGCTGTTGTCTCATGGTGTTTAAAAGTCCAGGTGAGCTCGTGAGGCAGCGCAGAGAATCATCAGTGTTAGGACCTGATAGTCTGTCACTACCTGTGACTCATGATGGTGATTCTTCATAAGCGTCCTGTGAAGTGTGTGGGCTCATAGCAGAGACCTGATGCACAGTAAATACAGTAGCCATGTTTTCAGGGCACAACACCGTTTTCTTAATAAAGTCATTTATTTAATAAATTCTAAGTCAGACATTTTCTGTCAGCTTGTAGGCGGAGACATGTTGTCCCGTTACCATCGGTCGGTTAAACGTCCAGCATCGATGTATGTGTTAATGTCGGTTACGTTGTTCCTCCACTCATTCAGATCTCTTATATCGGTGCTGAACATTAGTGTTGATCCGGCAGTCACCATGAATTCAAAGTAGAAGGATTCAATCATTTCCTTGAACCAAAAAAAAAAGTTAGATTTTATTTATTGGAAGAGACGTCCAGTTGTTAGAAGACTTTCTAAATGCCCGGGCATGAAGGTAACGTGTAAACGTTTCCCACTCCAGCAGGATCCCATGTGAAGCAAATCATTTGACCGGAATATGAGGCTGATCACCTCGAACGTTACACTTTCCTTCTAAAGCTCAAACAAGCAGCGCGTCTATTGATCAGGAGGTCGGCAGAGGTTCTGTGATTTATAAACATTACGGCACAAATCAGCCGAGGACCACTCATGAATACGAGTCTCACGGCGGCGTTTAATGAGACCACTGTGATGTGAACCGGATGAGGCTCTGTGTCGAACACGCTCTCGTGTGGCTTCCTGTTCAGCGGGTGTGTCGCTCTCTCTTTTGGCAGCAAAGCACAAGAAAGAAAAGGTGTGAAGATATCTCAGAGAGAGAGAGAGAGAAACACCTCGACCTGTTTTTACTGCGAAACAAACCAACATGAACATTTAAAGCAAACTATCTCATCCGGCGTTCAAATAACATGTAAAAGAAGTGTGTATCAGTGGTATTCAACATTTTATATATGGCTGTAAAATCTAATACAAGACAACAGAATTGAATTTGAAGGTAGACGTCACAATATAATGCAATCTAACAACATGATCGCTACAATCATTAGGATGCATAGTCTGGGATATGTATGTATGTATGTATATGTTTGTTTCAATTCACCCACTAGATGTTGAAATATGCCACAATGGATGTGTGCTGTGTTCTGAATGTGTACTGTACTTTGAACATGGTTTGGAAACAGTGCACGATGCAGCTTCCTGTCCTGTGGTTTGGCTCCTACAGCCGGCTCTACTCTAGTACCATCAGAAACATCAGCGTGTTGAAGAGGAATCGCATCTGCAAGTTTATTCTCGACGGGTACGACGGAGCAAGTCAACTACTGTCTCAGCTGGTTTGGCTTTTTAACGTTTGTGTTAAATGATTTGGACAAAGAATAGAAAACGATCGGATCCTTTGGTTCTTAGTTCATGATCAGAAAAACATGTAAATACGGACGGAGTATCGCCGTCGTTTGAAGCGTCAGACTCCGTGGCGTTGTGCTCTAGTTGGGGGTTTTCGGCCCTCACTCAGTCGTGACGAGGACGTTGAGTGAGAGCAGACTGCTAACAAGTTGCAGCCTCGATGCTCTTTTTTTTTTTTTTAAGCAGTTGAAGAGTCACGGTGGCTTTTCCCAAATTGACACAGTCAGCAATTGTGCTTCTGATCAGCAGGTGCTTGGAGGTTTAGCTCCGTTGACTGGTTGCTGTAGAAGTTCTCTACACTGACAGAAACGTGGTTCCTTGGTTTCCAGCCTTTACTTTAGAAATGTGTGCAGGGCTTTCTTCCCCAAAACAGAAAATGTGCTTATTATTATAATTGTTTGGGCACAGAACCAAATCATTTTGACTATCCTGTCTTTGCCGCGATGTAAAGTAGGGGTTGAGCGTATGGATCCAATCCTGTATTCTTCTGATATGTTTTCTAAAAATCAATCAATTGTAAATTCGTTAACGGATATCAACCACAGGAATGTCTTTTTTTTTTAGCTAATTCAGCAAATGAAGTTCCTTGCAAAGCACTTCATTACATTCATGTGAAATCATACAGAAGTCCAATATTCACAGAACAATACAACCTAACATGGCAACATCATCTGATGGTTGATAAGTTTATATTGTTCATAATGTATCGTATCGCCCTCTCCTAATATATATTCAGATTGGGATCAATGTTCAGATGTTTCTTCCCTGTTTTAATACACATGTTCATATTCAGCAGATTACACCATTTGATGGTGATGTTAAATAAAGTAATACTACTGTTTGGGTTCTTGTATGCCAATGAGTCACGAACGTTCACTGTCTTTAAGCATCTTTAATCTGCAGAGCAAAGGCAACTAAAGCGGTGACGATAGATGATGAAACATGAGAAAGTCATAAACAAACGTTGCTTTGGAATAAAGCGTTGTTGATTTTCAACTGATTCCATTCGCCTCAAGATGCTTTTGTGGAATAGAGCCCATGGTGCACTGAACACAGTCAGCTGATCAGCCTGAAAGAGACAAAACACAGCAGAACACGGGGTCAGTGTGCATCGTATCGCCTCTTTTGCTTTCACAGTATCCAGTTAAGAAAGATGTCAATTCTATAGAAGTAACGTAGAAGGTAAGTAGGATTCATCCTCAGGGGAACATGAATGCCTGTGCAACATTAAATGGCAATCGATAGTTGTTGAGATGCATCAGTCAGTACCACAGTGGGGGCCACACTGGTTTAATAAGTACCACAGTGGGGGCCACACTGGTTTAATACCAGTGTTAGTGTAATGCCAGTTCATGTAAAATACCTCCGACAGTGATGTAGATGTAATGTCCCATTCCTGTAGTTCCGGTCTCGCACTCTGCCATGCATTGAAATTGACCGTCGTCCTTCGGCGTCAGGTCGAAAATCTCCGTCACGACCTGTCTGCGTCTCACGTTGTCGTCCGTCTCGTTCACCGTGGTGAAGTACTTGCTGGGCTCAGTCAGCTCGGAGCTTTGCGTGGTCAGCCTGTACCACGCGACTCGCAGCTGGCCGCAGAGCTTAACGTCGTAAATTGCGTCGCAGGACAGTTTGACCGATGAGCCTCTGGCAGGAGCGATGCTTCTCTGTGGGTATTGGACCTGTAAGATAACTGCAGCGCAAAGGAAAAGAACAAACACTAGAATGAGCACCTCGCCATTGTTTGCCTGCACCAAAGTCTAGCTGCAGTTTACATCTATGTCTGTAGAACATGTCATTACAGTACGTTTTTGTGACGAGATATATATATATATATGTGTGTGTGTGTGTGTATATGTGTGTGTGTGTGTGTGTGTGTATGTGTGTGTGTGTGTATATATGTGTGTGTGTATATATGTGTGTGTGTATATGTGTGTGTGTATATGTATATATGTGTGTGTGTATATGTATATATGTCTGTATGTATATATATGTCTGTATATATATATATATATATGTCTGTATGTATATATATATATGTCTGTATGTATGTATGTATGTATGTATGTATATATATATGTATGTATGTATGTATGTATATATATATATGTATATGTATGTATATGTATGTATGTATGTATGTATGTATGTATGTATGTATGTGTCTGTATGTATATGTCTGTCTGTATGTATGTATATGTCTGTATGTATGTATATGTCTGTATGTATGTATATGTCTGTATGTATGTATATGTCTGTATGTATGTATGTATATGTCTGTATGTATGTATGTATATGTCTGTATGTATATATGTATATGTCTGTATGTATATAT